TTAGGGCTGTCACTTTTACAGTACATAGGGCGGGAATCTACAATATAAACACAGATAAAATTATTGGTTTTCAATCCAGTTTAATGATCTTCCACCCACACACTGAAAATGGGGATGCATCCTCTCTCCATCTGAAACTAGCTACCTGAGAGATTGCAGCTGCCTGCAGAACAGGCACACCTTGCACTTCGTACCAGGTGGGCAAGGTTTTAATCATGGCTGTGGTGATAAAAAGGCTGGGAAGGCTTACATTTCATGCACTGACCTAGACAAACACAACACCACACAACATCTTTGCTGCAACCCAAGCTAGTTCTCTGATTCAACTTTCCCTACATACAGAATCACAATAGGTTGGAAGGGACCACAGTGGGGCAACTGGTCCAACCTCCCTACTTAAGCAGGATCCTTCTGGAACAACTGGCACAGGATTGTGTCCAGATGGTTGTGGAATATCTCCAGTGAGAGAGACTCCATGTCCTCTCTGGGCAATCTGTTCCAGTCAGTTGTCACCTGCATAGCAAAGGAGTTCTTCCGCATGTTTAGGAGGCACTTTGTGTGCATCAGTTTCTGTCTATTGTCTCCTGTTTTATTAGTTTGCAGCACTGATCCATCCTCTTGATACCCTTACTTTAGATAGCTATACACATCTATGATATCCCCTCTCAGTCATCTCTTCTCAAGGCCCAGCTCCCCCAGTCTTATGTCATACAAGAGATCCTCCAGACCCTTGACCAACTGAGTAGCTCTCTGCTGGACCTGCTCCAGCAGCTCCATGCCACCCTTGTACTCAGGGGCCAGAACTTCTCACAGGACTTCAAATGGGGTGGCACCAGGGCTAAACAGAGAAGGATCACCTCCCTGGACCTGCTGGCAATGCTCCTAATACATTCCAGCATTCCATAAGGCCACACTGCTGGTTCACGTACAGCTGGCTGTCCAACAGGATGCCTGGGTTCTTCTCCTCAGAGCTGCTTCCCAGCAGGTCAGTCTGTGCTGGTGCCTGAGGTTATCCCTCCTCTGCATTTACCCTTTTTGAATTTCATAAGGTTCTTCTCTGCCCATCTGCCCAGTCTATGAAGGTCCTTCTGAAGGGCTGCACAACTCTCTGAGACATCGGTGACTCCCCCAGCTTTGTATCATCTTCAAACTTGCTGAGGAGGTGTTTCCCCTTCATCTAAGTCATTGACAAGTTAAACAACGCTGAACCCAGTACAGAATCCCAGGGAGCACCTGTAGTGACAGGCTTCCAACTAAACTCTGTACCACCAATCACAACCTTCTGGAATCTGACAGAGTAATCCAGACTCAGCCAGTTCTCAACCCAGCTGAAGTGTCCATTCATCCACTCTATACTTCTTGAGTTTTCTAGAGAGACAGCCTTATAAAAGTCAGGGCAGACAGCATTTGCTGCTCTCTCCTCATCCATCTGGGTAATCTTTTCATTGTAGTAGGCAATCAGGTTGGTCAAACAGGGTTTACCTTTAGCGAATCCCTGCTGACTACTCCTGATCACATTTATGTCTTCCATGTTGGTAGACATGGCCTCCAGAATAAAGCATTCCATCTTCTTCCCAGTGATCCAGGTGAGGATGACCGAATGGTAGATCTCTTTCTTCTCTTTCTTGCTCTTTTTGAAGACTGGAGTGATATTTGTTACTTCCAGTCCTCAGGCACCTCTCCTGATCTCCATGACCTCTCAAAGATGATCATGAGAGGCCTATTTATGATGTCTGCCAGCCCTCCCAGCACTCATGGATGCATCCCATCATGGCCTGTGGACTTGTGGATGTGAAATTTATTTAAGTACTCTCTGACACAATCCTACTGCCGTGAAGGAAGGTCTTCTTCCTAACATTCACACACCCTGGTCTCCTGGCTTAGAGATCCCTGGGGGCAGATGCAAAGAAGATATTGAATACCTCTGCCTTCTCTGTGTCCACTGTTACTAAAGTGCCCTCCATTTACTAATAGTTCTCTTTTGTTTCCTTTTGTTATTTACATATTTGAAAAAGCCCTTTTTGTCATCTTTGATATCCTTGGTTAGATTTAATATTAGATGGACTTTGGTCTTTCTAGACTTCTAGACTCAGGGAAAGAGGGGTCCCTGCACATACGCCTTGTACTTTACAGTCACAAACATAACTTGCTTACATGCTTCTGTGTCTTGATGCATTGCTGAGTTTGACCTTTTAGAAACCTTGGGTTAATGCTTCCCCATCATGACAGCAAACTTCCATTTTGGGTTTACTTAAAAACAGGAAAAGAAATTAAATTAATTTCAAAATCCCTCTTAATTATTGACACAAGAGGACAAAAAGTTCTCCTCTGGAGTCCTGAAAACTAGTGTAAAATGTCAAAGCTAGAGTTCCTCTCCAGTAAGTTATTCTCAGTAAATTTGGTCTGTTTGTTGCTCACATACATATATAGATCTGTCTTTATATATGCTTTCTCCTCGTGAAAAGCATTCTGGCTACTTAACAGGCATGTGGGATCCTGCATAAATTATGCTGATTCTATATGATTCAAACTATAAAATAGAAAATTACATCCCATTTTCAACATGTGAATACACAGATTATGTAAAATGTGAAATATCAAACTGGAAATCCTTAATTCTCATTTGTGAGTTATTTTTTTCTTATCCCACAGTCCCATTGATTTCAACTGGGCTGAGTAAGGTCTCACATAAGACCACATTCTGGCCTTGTTCTAAAACCACATCAAGTCTCTAATCTTGCAATCTGATCTGTGCAAAGACAGTCATGTTATGCCAATGGGCTGTTTTTCTGGCGTGGGAAGACATTTCATGAATCAAGGCCATAACAGTTAACTACCCAAACAAGAACATGACAAAGCTTCACTGCAGCATTTAATCTGATGTTTTTGAGGTTATATTAACTTTTAACTTCAGAGATGTGCAGTGATTCTTCACCAAAAATGTGTAATATTCTGGAAGTATTCTTACAGCTTTAAGATGACAGAAATCACATAAATGTTAGAGAATGGCAGTGTAGTCACTTCTGTAAGTGTGAAGTGGACTACAGCAAGAAAATAGCAATGCCTGCAGAAAAAGTGATCCTTTCAGGACACACACTCCTACTGTTGAATTTTTGCATTATTTTTTTCCTGCTGTCTTATATTGACATTTCCAATTTGCTTGTGAGCAACATGGGTATGTGTCTTGGTTTGAAAGGACAGGTATCTGCTAGGGAAGGCAGGAGCATCTCTTGAAATGAAAAATATAAACGCTCTCCCTCCAAACTATAATTTTGAAATTAATGGCAGGGTGGGGGAGGTGGGGGGGGTCTCAGGCAAAGATATGGGAGTAGGAATAATGTTCTTTATCAGGAAAAATAAAATTGAAGGAAAAATAAAAATATAAACCAGCACTGATAGAGTCAAAAATCAGACCTGACACCCTGTGGGTCAGGGTGTTGGTAGCAGTCTGATTGAATGGTGACTGCAGTCCTCTTGGAGTGACAGATGTAGTTCTGTTGAAGCAGTGATCCTGTAGAAGGGTGTGGCAGGGTGGGGGAGGTGGGGGGGGTCTCAGGCAAAGATATGGGAGTAGGAATAATGTTCTTTATCAGGAAAAATAAAATTGAAGGAAAAATAAAAATATAAAACAGCACTGATAGAGTCAAAAATCTGACCTGACACCCTGTGGGTCAGGGTGTTGGTAGCAGTCTGATTGAATGGTGACTGCAGTCCTCTTGGAGTGACAGATGTAGTTCTGTTGAAGCAGTGATCCTGTAGAAGGGTGTGGTTTTCCTCTGAAGATCCAGTGGTGGTGTAGATGGGCCTGGTCTTCCTCTTTCAGTAGAAAAGAAAACTGCTTCTCTGGGAGTCCAGTGGGAAAAGGCTATGGTGTTCTAAAAATCTCAGATTATGTCTAGGTAGGAATGCTGGGCTCTTCCCCTGGGGGCGGAGCATCTCCCAATGGGATAATGTAATTTTGTCAGTCATGCAGGGACACTCAATGGCCTATTAACAGAAGATGTCTCCCCTGAGGGAAGATGGTTTCTGGAAGAGAAAAGGAAAACTGCCCCACCCGGTTTTAACAGGTGGCTCAATTAACAGAAGATAACTGCCCCATCTCTAACAGATGGCAATGGAATACACACCCCTGCCCATATCTTGCATTTGCAAACTAAGACAGTATGAAAGCTCAATCAGCCACACAAAAGGTTTAACTGAGCACTACACAGAAGTTATACATCTGTGACAGTGAAACTGAGGTACCTACCTATTTTATACAGCTTTATAGTGCCCATCTGCTCTCACTGCTATCTATTTTATAATTAATAGCGATCAGAAATATGAATACTCTCAACAGGTACTTTTCATAAACTTTCACTGAACTCTGATGGGCATATTCACATCTCTGCAGCACTACAATGTGTTTTCTTCTTACAGATATATCAGACATTTCACTCCTTTAGTGAATGGCATACAGATAGATGGATGCACCCACATGAGCCCTGTTGTATCAATGTGCAGCCAGGTCTGCATTACAAGTAGAAAGAACTGGGGCTTGACATGAATAAAAGTGTCCTATCATATTGTATATGAATTGATCTTTAATGACTTTATGTGACCATTGTTTTTTTATGGCATGAACACCACTGTAAGATTTGTTGGTTACCAACTGTTAAGCCCATATCATGAAGCTCCTATGCATCCATAGTTTCAGTTTTTAAATACATCTTCCTTGGGTGATAGCGAAAATGGTGAAGGACCCACAAGAAATATTTTGCCTTTGGCTTTCAGAGTCTCTTGTAAAATAACACTGATGGGCTACATGTCTATAGCTGCTTGTCTATGTTAGAGCAGGACTGGGATGTCTCAGATTTATGAAGAGTTGAATTCTTTCTGCATCTCCTTAGCTCATAAAAAGTTGTATTGCTGCCCTCAAAAGTGAAAAATAAAATTTTGAATAAAATTTTAATTAATAAAATTTAATTAATTAATTCATTTTGAATAAAATTTCATTTCAGACACTGTGAATCCAATCCATCACCTGATTTTGGATTGCCATTTTGATAATTACCAGGAGCTGCATAATGGCTTGAAGAGCATCTCAGTAGGATTTCTCCTGGCTGGAGAGGAGAGCTGAAGAGGTTAATCAAAACAGGTACAGCCCTTCTTACCTGTTACTGCTTCTGCTCATCTCCCATACAGCATATGTATAATCTGTGCATGTTCGGTACGGTATTCCCTGTCTGTGTACTCAGAATTATCTGAATACAGCTGTCAACATCTCGATCAAGGCACAGCTCTAATTAGAGTTCTCTGTTGTAGTTGAAGGAAACATGCTTGGAAAGTTGCTCCATGCCATGTTTCAACTACCAACTACCAACAGTGGCTGGTTTTGTTGAAACTTCTGTTATATTTAAAAAAGGATATACTTTTAGTTAATTTCAAGCTTTCGCTTAGGAAAGACTTTTGGAGCAAAAGTGAAGACCAAAAGACAGCCCAAAATGTAATGGCATGAAAGTAAAGGTGAGAAAAATTTAAATACATAAATATAGGAGCTTAAAATGGAAACTGGTGCTCCTCTTTAGCCATGGTTATTTTCTGTACTAATCTACCTGTCCCTATGAAACAGACAAAGGCAGACATGTCATCACTTGTTTTTGCGGCCAGACAAGAGGATGTCTGTAAAAAATAATTGTTCAAAAAAAAGCCAGAAAAATTAATGCCACTGAGTACCAATAATATGCAAAACAAATAAGGGTCAGGATCAGGAACACTGAAATGTGAATATTCAATTAACAATAACAGAAATGATGTGGGACATGGTATGCAAAGGATGAGTGCCTCAGGCCAAGCATTCTCAATAGCAAAGCCAATAAGTAATTTGTTAAAAACAACCCACATGACTGTTTTTTTCAGCTCATGAGAAAATACATGTTGAAGATTTGCTGTTCTAACAGCAAAACCAAATATGTTCCATAACGCAAACATAAAGAGGATGTATAACCAACACATCTAGGAAAGTGATAGGAAGGAGAGATGCTTGAGGAGAAAAAACTTGCTAACCAGAGGTTTTTATGTTGACCACGGCACCACATGTCTGACATGCTGATTTCTCAGTCAAACCTGTTGTCAACAGAAATTTTTTCTTGAACTGTAAAATTCATAGCATGTGCTTGGCTTGCATCAAGAACACAGCAGTTTATTCCCCACACAAACAGCTCTGTCTAGCTCGGCTGGGTATAAACAGAAAGACTTATTCACTAATTATTTATACAAACATAGCTGCATTCTGGAAGATTCCTAGGAACTGGAAACTGGTTTACTTCTGATTCTTACTGTTTTGATTTTCAGGGCAATCAGACTACTGAAAATCATCTAGACCTTCATCCACAGGTAATCCACAAGTGATTTTTCTCCCCCTGAGAGTACTGCTACTGCTTATTTAGTAATAATAATAATAAAGTACTTATATAAAGCAAAGTCTTTACTTGTACAAAGAATTTGTCTTCCAACCTGTCCAACTACTGAGACTACTTGCATGAGTAAGGAGTATGCCATAGCTACCAGCATCAGCCTTGCTGCAGATATTTGCAGTGTGAGAGGAATATTCTTACGTGTGCAGAATTGCATTACACTTCTGTGTCCCAGCAAACAGTGGCTTTTTCAAATCAAAATGACTACTTTTATGGAAGTCAAGTGGAACTCATTCATAAGTGTTTTTTACATTATGCACCTCCTTCTTTCCCCTTTTCTACCCACTGGTAGACCAAGCAGTTGAAATACTGAAACAAGCTTAGCAAGGGGAGTAAGAGGAAAAATATTTTCCTGGTGCTTTGCATGCTGTCATTCACATCCTCTCACTTCTTGATGAAACGCAGCCACAACAGGAAATATGTGAAATAAGTTCCCAGCAGTTTAAAGCAAAGTTTCAATGACAGAGGGTGATAGAAGAAAGAATAGTGCAGTGAAAAAGAACTATCATTTTGGACAGGCAGATCTACAGTCATCTAGGACTGTAAACCAAACCTTACCCTATTTTAAGAACATTTGAAGGGTTTATAGGACTGGGTCTCAGTTTAGGCTCTGAGATTAGCATTCCACTTGTGCAAAGTACCATGGAATTTTAATGAATAAAAGTAGCCAGAGTTTCTACTCTCTTCCTGAGATCTGTGTATTTGCTAATTTAGAGACAAATTTCACATGTGACTTGAGTGGTGCATTTGTACCAGCACCATACTGACGCAATGGTTAAAAAATCTGATGCTGAGGAAAGTGGCATATGTGAATCTTATGTTGTCCTAGATACACACATAAATGTTTCCAGACCTTAGATAATGAGATATTAAAATACTACAATGAACCCAAAAATCTGAGAGGCCAGTCCACTTTGCTGTTGTGAGGGTTTTCTGGATTTAAAATAATGGAAAAAATCAAGATTTTATTTAAATTTTTCTTCTAAATGCATGACTATTTTTCCTTAGGAAAGGAGTCTCTAGGACCTGATTATCTTTGCCCTTGTTTCTGTCAACAGTTACTATACTGAAATAACACTTCAGGCCCTTTATGCTGGGTCCTCAAGGGGAGTTGGGTATTTAACTCATTTTGGTAAAACCAAACAGATATTTTTCAAGGTCTCTATCTTAGCTAGTCCTTGTCTTTATTACAGGTTTTCTGAGTTATTTTTCTCTTTAAAATGTTCGTTTAGAGTTGCAGGGACCCACCAACAGCAAATAATGAGAGGAGCTGGGTACGGAACTTCTTGGTCTCATAATGACCATCCAAAAACATCAAAACCTGAGAATCAAGATGGTTGACCCAAATCTAAAATTTTGTGTAAGTCATTTATATGCATTTAAGAAGACTGTTCAAAAAATATGTTTTTAGCCTTGAGATAAGGTATTGTGAGATGTGTAGCAGATGCTTTGGGACAAAGCTTTAAGCCTTTTATTGACATTTGCTTTGGAAAAAATTAGGTAGCTGTCTGTATAACATCTGATCACATAGTCCTGAAAATCTGGCTGTATTCTTTTTGTTAATTAAAACCACCATTCAATAGTATGCAATGTGGTCTTTTTATTTCAATAGCATGAAATATTTTGGATATTAGCTGCTTCTTAAAATGACTATAAATTTCAACAAATACCAAGAAACACAACAGCTTCAAACAAAAGTGGAAACACCTCACCACAACACCCAATTCTTCCCAGAGCACTTAATCCAAGATTTCTGGAGCTTAACTGCACACTCTAGTGCAGTTTCTGGAGCTATAAAAATTTGTTATTTGTCCCTTAATGTCACAGGTTAGAGTAAATGCTTATATGTCACCGTGATATTTTCTGGAAAAATCCCTTTGCCAGTATTCTTCTCCTGGGAAGCTGAGAAGCCTCAGGGAAAAATGAAAACAATAATTATCTGACTTGCTTCTCCTGTGTTTTTCTGCTTTGGAATGTGGTTTGGACATTGTTTGCCAACAGGTGCGTGTCTGATTGGTTTCATGTGAATTGTTTTGACTTAATGACCAATCACCATCCTGCTGTGTCAGGACTCTGAAAGGAGTCACAAATTTTAATTATCATTCTTTGTAGCCTTCTGTCTGTATCCTTTCTCTATTCTTTAGTATAGTTTATTATAGTTTTAGTATAGCATTCTTTAATATAACATAAGATCATAAAATAATAAATTAGCCTTCTAAGAACACTGAGTCAGATTCCTTCATTTCCTTGCCATCATCAGGGACCCTGAAACTACCACACTTATAGGCTGAATTTTAATATTTGTGTTTTTGTTGTAATTTAAAAGTCACATAAAAATTGTTATAAACTGCTGGAGCACAGTCAAGTGTTTGTAAAAATCTGGCTAGATGACATATTCTCTTGATTCCCATCACTGGAAGAAGCTGCTGGGTCTTGAACAAAGTAAAAGAAGAGGCTGATAAGAGGCAAATCCTGTGAGGGGGTATAGTGATTTTTATTATGCCAATGTTCTCCCTTACACAATGGATCAGGTATGAAAATTCCATTCCGGGAGAGTACAGGAAGTTCAAAGTAGCCTGAAAGTATTCATACCTTTTGATGGACCATAGTTGACTCAACTGCACTGATGGGAGAGGCATCTCTAATGTCTTAAACAATTGAAGACTCCTGAAGTGTTTCATAATCTACATCATTGCATCATTCAGTGTGAAACTTCCCACCTCTGAGCAGGTACCTGGGCATTCCCACTTGACCATAAGTGGATTCCGATGCTTTGTGGGCTTTCCCCACTCCTGACAGATCAAGCCAGTTACCGCCACTCTGACCAACAGACATCAAAATTGCAACAACAAAGTCTCCTTTCAGCATCCAACAGGTGGTAACTCTATACTTTTCTAGTTTATTTTTCCTAATTTTTTCTATTTCTACCTCACATTTATTGTTAAATAAAAATCCTTTCTATTGACTTTGGCATATGGTTTTGTTTGTAATAATCAGATCTTAACACTATATAATTACCTTTTAAGTCCATTACTCTGTTGTTTCTTCTCATGATTCTATTATCTCCAAACTGTATCAGCTGAGCTTTTCTGTATTATTTCCCAAATAAGAAAAAAAGCCAAATGAAAAATCAAAAGCAAAGTTCACATGCAAAAATTATAAACTTCTGCACAGTTGTCAGTATGTGAGCATATTCAAGATAGCATTCTTATTGACTTAGGGGTTGCTACTTTTCGTGATGCTTTCTTGGTTAGTAAAGTCAGTAGCAGTAAAGCCTTGGAGTTGGTAGCAAGAAGTCAGTTGTGCATTTGAATCCCTAATTTTCTGGCTATAAATAGCCACATCACATTTCCAGCAAAAACAATGGGGTTGTTTTCAGCACTGCTCTACTAAGGAGGCATGTTTTTTATTTTCTTATTTTATTACAATTAAAACCATTTCAATCACAAAACTCTGTCCTGCATTTACTTTTGAAACAGAGCATGAGGGATGTTACTCAAAAGTGAAAATCCTGCCCTTCCTTGGGCCAAATGAAAGAAAATGTAGCAGTGCAGCATTACTCACTGGACTTCTATTACAATTTTGAATTCATGGACTAATTACTAATACTTGCCCCAGTGTGCAATTAAAAAGTAGACATCTTGTCATAAGCAGTCTTTTTTCCTTCTGTGTGGGAAAGATGGAAGTATTATCTTTGTCCTAGTTTTGGCCAGGACCTGGAAGTTATTTCAGACCACTTCACAGAGTTGTTGGAGCCAGAGGGAAGTGACTCTCTGGCTTCCAAGAAGGTCATAGTTTCAGATTGAAAAGAAGTGGTGGCATTGTCTGCCATTGTTCCTTGGAGTCCTTGGTGAGAATTCTTGCAAGTGAATGTCTCTCTTTTACATAATTTTGTTGTTAATATTGCTGTTGTTGCTGTCCATTTTTCCATTTTCCTATCTCACTGCTGTTCGCAATAAACTGTTGTTATCTCAACCAGTGATCTTCACCTTTTGTGCCTCCAACTCTCAACTCCATCCTGCTGGAGCAGGAGTGAACTGATCACATATGGTTTGGGAGAGCCTTGGTAAGAACACTGAATTAGTTAGTACCATTCCTAAACCATGACAACCTTTCATCAGACATGTGATAAGGAGTTGCATGCATGGAGTATAGGCAGGTTCTCTTCTTGCTGTAGAGGATTTCCACCAGTGCCTGTGTTCTTGTTGAGTAATAATGAGATACCATAATGAAACTGTAGAAGATGTATGTCAGATGGTTCTCCAATAACATTAGAAAAAAAAAAGCAGCTGAAGTATGGGATATTGAAGGCAGATTAAGTTGTTAATGCATATTAGTATATTCTTAATTTCCTTTTAATTGAAAAAGACATATTGACTTTAATTAAAACCATTTCACAGGAACTGTCAATTAGCACATGTCAAAGTAGTTAATTCAGAACAGAATTCTCTTAATTAGGGTCTGCTTTCCTTTAACTGTGGGGCCAATGAAATCAGCCCTTACTTATCAAGAATTTACATGTCTCAAAGAAATACAATACAAATCTCTAAAAACTCTTATCTATTATTAGAAGCCCATATGGATAACATTAAAATGATGGTGCTGGCATTGTTCATGTCACAGACGTCAGAGTTTCCTTTATGGCTGCTTGGAAAAAAAAAGAAAAAGATGGCTTTGAAGAAAGACTATTTTAAATACACAGATTTATTCTGCATTAAAGAGACTACAAAATTTATTATATAGATGCTCACATTTAAATTATTTAATATGTCTGCTTAGATAAATGGGCCTACTCAAATGTGTTGTGTGTTCTGTGAGCCAAAGACATTTTCAAAGCATGCAACATGCTGTTCTTCCCTTAAATGAACTATAATCAAAAGGAGAAAACAGATTAGATTTTTTTTTTTGGACAATAGTATAACTGTTAGCTTTCACTGCATGTGAGGATTTAACAGTGATTGCTAATCCAGTGGCTGTGAACATCAGTGTGCTAATGTCATCTCCATTATCAAACAGTATATAGTCTCTGTCTTGACTTTCACATTTTCTGAATATATCTCTAACTTGTTGATGGATCTCCACCTCTTGGCAGATGTACTGCTGTAAAGATCTTCTCCATGGTTTCTGGGAACCTCCACATCTGTAATGCTGGTCACATCTCTTCAGGAGTAAGAACAGCTGAGAAAAATATAACAAATCATAAAAGGAATAATTGCAAAACCTAGACTTAGTCTAATCATACAGGGTTTAGCCACTGTTTTACTGACCCCTGTCAACATAGGATTACAGAGATTAGTGAAAGGAATACTTAATAACTGAACTGTGGATTCTAAAGAGGATTATCTGGTAAAATATTTCATGTATCCTGATGGTTTGTTGAATATATTAGGAACCTGATTATGGGCCTGGCTAACTCAGCTGTAAAAGAAGAATCATTCCCCAAAATCAAATATAACCAGTGTGCATTAAAATTTAATGTGTCCTAGAAGTACACTTCACCTAGGATCCTACCCATACCAATTTTTCCCCCAGGGCAACTCTCTGGTAGGGGTGGGTGTAGAGCTGTAGGAGTGCCATGTGTTAAAATCTGTGTTAAGGTTCCTACAAAAGCTTGAACAGTGGATGAACTTTAGCTAGGTGATCTGCAAAACCAAAATATTGTGCTCCAGGAGTTCTTCAGCTCAAGCAAGAGGCTGTGTAGAGATGTTACTTCACTGCCTAGTCTCCTGTGTAAAGTGTACCTGGAATATAACTAATAACTACCTCTACTTTTAAAGGTGACTGTAGATTGGTAGCATAAGACCCTAATATTTATTAATTAATCCCATTGTGGTCCATATTTAATCTGTGCTCATCAATTTAATGCTTACCATGATTTAGAACCCATTCAAGCTGATCTAAGTCACTTTGGCACTGAATTCTGTATTTCAACTTCTTTTATAACATAGCAGAAACAGTGATTTGCATTTTGATCCTCTTGCTCAATATATTATTTGCTTCAAAATGACAATTAGCAATAACTTTTCTTTTAAAATCACTCCTACAGTGGCTGTGCATGGGAAGTATGGTTATGCTCATCACAAGGGTTTTAAAACCGTAAGTGACTGTCTTTATGGCTCTGTTATACTGAACTTCAAACTGTAAAAATATTTGAACGGTTTAAATTATAAGAAATTCTCAGATTATGGTGAAATTTTAAATCTTTGCAGTATTCCAGCCACATTATTAATTATTGATGTAGCTCATATACATAATGGCAGGAACAATGGAGAAACAGTTTTATGAAGGGAAAGTAATATATCGAACCCACAGACAAAGACAGTTAGAAAAAGAATTAAAAGCAGAAGATCCCCCCTGCAAATATACCAAAGCACCTCTCAGCATAGCCTATGTGCCATGCTGTCAAAGCAGTGCAAAGTTTTTTTTTTTGCAATTAATACTAAGGTGACTCATTGCTTAGCAGCAGCACTAATATTTACACCCCTGTGGATCTCATGACTTAGTAGCATGCTTTGACTTCAATTACATCTGTCAGTTTTTGATAGCAAGAAATCATTACAGAAGTTCAAAAGCACTTGAGCTACAGCAAGATCTTTGCAATTATCTATATAATATCTTTCTGCTTTTATTGGCTCCTTGATCTTCTGTGGCAGCCCCAACCTCTCTGTCAACTTTGTTCTGTAAGAAGTTGAACCTTAAAGCATGATATTAAAAATATTTATATATATGTATGAAAATACTGCAGTATACAATGGATTTCACCCAGTCTGACATTCTTCTTGGGATAAATGCTTAATAAAAGTTGCCCATGTGAATCATATGCTGTTCATGTATTGTTCATGAATCAAATGAAGAATCGTTTAAAAATTACTAGCATAACAGAAATTTTTACAGGCTTTTTGTTTAAATTGTTTAAATCGCTGTAGCTCTGATTTCCAATAATTTTAACCAAACAGGTATGGCAGAACTATCCCAGAAAAGGGAGTAATCGAACACTTTTCTTGTTGTTTAAAAATATTTCTTAAATATTTTGAAAGTGAGAATTTCTCAATTATGCATTTGTCCTTCAGAGCAAGACCATAGAGGGTATCAGAACCCAATCCTACAAACCGGGGTGAAAGCACAAAGAGTTTGAGGATTCATTCCATTCTCACAATCACAGTGAATAAAGCCTTATACACACGCAGAGTAGTAAAGATGATTTGTTCTGACCAGTGTGTAGATCACTTACTCAGAAGTCTTTGGTCCTTGCAGCTTGCCTTGCCTGGCACTTCCTCCTATTCCAAGGAGGACTTTAAGTCATGACAGCTGTGCTCATGTTAAACCATGAGAGCAACTGGTTTGCAGCACCCAAAGATGGAGCCTCCACCCATTAAACTGTGAGAGTTCCTCGCTGTCTTCTAGACTGATGTCTTGTTTGCTATTGTTTTGAAGCACAGCCCAGATTTTTTCAAAAACCACTGTCTTTTGGACAACTATGTCTTCTGCTGGCTATTTTTGAAGAAATCAATCTTTCTGTTAAGCAATGAAAAATAATGCTAAGGCACCTAATACATGCCCAAGTATTTCCAATGTTGTGTATTAGCTCTAAACAAGGGCAGTCAGATGGCTGTTCCCTCATTTTGAACAAGAGACCTATGGATCATCAGCAGTTCACTGATCATAAATGAGGAACTGCTGGCTTTGCTCCCACTGTGTCTCTGAGCATATTCTTTCAGATCACATTGTCTCACACTACAGTAATATTACCTACTAATTTATTAAACAATTCTGCAAGCATAACTAAAGCATTTGGGTTGTTAACATATATTTAAGAAGATTTTGAATCAATACATAGTATTTTGCGGTGAAGTCATAAAAATGTGCCAACATGAGTGTATCTAATGCTGAAAATATTGCATGCAGATGTCTGTTTCCCTATTATTCCATAAAATAACTGTTTATTTTTATTTATATGAGTAATTTTAGATGCAAACATTTTACCAAAACCCCATTCATTTAGGGAATAGATAAACACAATGAGCTTAATATAAGAAAGTGTTTTAAAACATATTTTAGTGATTATAAAATGAAAAGAAATTTAAAAAGTCCTAAACTATTTTTCTTTCTTCCTCATGATGAGAAAGAAATATAGGTTATCATCTGGTATATTATTTATTATGTGGCAGTGAAGTGAAATTTGCGCCTCACACCATGTATTCTTTACATGATGAAAAGGAGTATAATTAAATTTGTTTATTTGAAGGTTCTGCCTGGGCACATTGGCTACCAATTTTATTTTTATTGCAGTGCATGGATAGCTAAGTCACATATCCTTATGTTAATGCAGAGTACATAGGAAAGGAAAGGGAAGTATAATTTTTGTTGCCGCTTTTGTAATTTGAAATTTACATGGTGTCTATGCACATTGGCTACCATTTCATTTTTACTGCACTGCACTGATAGCAATGTCATATATAATTAAAACCAAGGTAGGGAAAAAAAAAAGGAAAACCAGATTTTCCCCCCTGCCTCTGCTATGAACATTGTCTGAAATTTTTGTATTGTGTGAATAGCATTTCCAGAGGGTGGTGGATATACTGAAAGATCTTACCTCCATTGTAAAAGAAGTATAATGCTATATGTGTTTGTATTGCTTCATAAGAGAGTGGATAGAAAATATAGTGCTACTCACATTTCTTATCAGTGGGATACAAGTTGGTTCAATATCTAGGAACAGTTAATGTAGAAACAGCCATTTCCCATGAAAACTGGAATAATAAAAGGACTTAATTTCCCCAAATCAGTATATTTTGTTAAAGTGCTTATCTCATGCATCCCAAAATTACTTCTGTGGCCACCTCACTGTCCTTTACCTTCTAAGCAGAGAGCGTGACACACTTTTTAGGATATGTAGGGGTACTCTCTATCTGTGGTGGACTCATTCCCATCAATGACTTGTATAAACAACAGTGACCAGGATGGACATGGTACCCACCTGCATGGGGAGGACCAGACAGCTGCATGACTGATCTCTTTTCCATGATGTGTCATTTTACAAGTTAGCACAAACAGGAGGCAGGAATATGGCCCTTGGATTAACTTTGGGAAAATTGTGCTTTATTATGGTGGATCTGTTGTGAGCAACTGTCTCAGTTTTGGAGAGGAAAAGAGGTCAGCTTATTTTATTTTATAATTCATTATTAAAATTTTTGTATCACACAACATTGCCTCTTTATCCTTGACCTTTGGGGCAACTGTGTTGTGGTACTGTAAACTGACTTTAATTTTTTAGGAGCTGCCCTTGGACAGACAGAAATAGGGCTGCCAACAGAAGATGTGAAGCCTCAGTACAGTCCTTCATCTACAGCTTGGGTAGTTCTACTAATCTGAGCTAGATCTTATGCATTGCAGCTTGCACCCTGCTCTTTAGGCAGAATACCACAAGCTGGTCAACAAAGCTACTGAAAAGTCTGGAAGGCATGTCTTTGAAGAGCAGCTGAGAACACTGGGTTTATTCAGTTAGAGAAAAGGACATGAGCTCATTGCTGTCTACAACTTTCTGAGAAAGGGAAATGGAGAGGGAGGTGCTGATTTCTTCCTGGGATCCAGCAGGATGTGTGGGAATGGTTTAAACCTTTTGCAGGAGAAGTTGAATCTTGCTATTAGGAAGCATTTTTTAAATTGAAAGAATGGCCAAACATTGAGAACAAAGGAATGTCCCAAACCTGTCAGTGTTTAAGAGGCATTTAGACAACGTGCTGAATAACATGCTTTAACTTGTTATTTAGGTAAATAACTTCAATTAGACCTGAAGTGATGAAGTAAGTGGACTTAGATAAGCATTGTAGGTCCCTTTCAACCGAAATATTAGTCTCCCCTCCCCTCCTTTCCTCTCAGACCACAGAGGATGGTCTCAGACAATAATGTCCCTTTCTTTTTTGTTGAGCAGTATTTTGAATGGGAACCTTTCTGGAACATATAGCTTTGCCCCTGCACGGACAGACACAAAGCTGTCTCCAAGTTTGTTCACACACCTTTGAAGAGGCTGTTAATAAGGTGGAATAAAACAGTTTCCAGGCTCTTCCACTCTTGCCAAAGAGTAGGACAATAAAGGAACTAGGCATGAGCTAACCTAAATGTGGAAGGACAAGATAACCTTTGCCAACATATCTTTAATGAATTCTGCATGGCATTAAATGACTATAGATGTATGTAATAGATTTTGTGATGTCATAACACCACAAAATGACAATAAGCCACCTGAAAACAGAAATGCATGACAGCACAGTGTACATTTTTAATGCATTGCCTTGTGTGAGGAGGAGGCTTGGAAAAACCTCCTTCTCACCCACTGCAATAAGTTACTTGTGTGCAAAAGCAGCATCATTCCTTCTTCAAAATATCACATATAATGAAAATCAAAAAGAAACACTGGACAGAGGAATCCCACAAGTCCTCTCATTCACGCTGAATTTGAAGTGTCAGTTCCTGTACTGCTGCTGCTGTTCCTTGGACGGTGTCTGTGAAAATTGGTACCCTCAATCATGCAGCACAAGGGCACAGGTGATGGCTTGCTTTCGTAGAGACCTTTGCAGTGTTGGGCACAACTTTTGATGATGCTGGTGTTCTTTTCCTTCTTTAGCTCAAGTGAGACTGAACAAGTGTGAAATATTATGTAGCAGGTGTTAGAGAAAGAGGGATAATGCAGCAGTTTTGGAAGAAGTGCTGGATGGAAATGAACAGCTAAAGTCTTCATCTGGAGAGGAAATCCAGAACTGTCCTTTCTTCATGAGCTGCATGAAAAACAGGGAGTGTGTATTGGGGGTTAGTAGAAAACAAACTTCAACTTGTTTCTAAAGGTCTCCATATGCTTTTATTTGTGTTTTCTATTTTCCTTTTGGCTGCACTGGAAATTTGTTTTATACTGGCACCTCCCAGAACATTTTTAAGTTATGAAAAACATACTTCTCTCAGGGCTCCACAAATGAACTATGACATTTTCCCCTTCTCTAGGTTTTTATTAAGCTCAGTGGGACTAATTCCCTATTGCTCTGCTCCTTGTGTAGGTCTTATGTGTCAAATGGGTGTGAAATGCTGGCTAAAACTTCAAACATATCTATATATAACTATAACTGGTCAAGCTTGAAGTTTGGGATCACACCCCCAAAATTTGTGTCTAAATCTTACATCTCCAGTGTGGGATGACCTTCTTCACATGGCAGGTGATATCACAGGTATTAATAAGCCACTTTCTCTTCCATGATTATTTTTGTAACAAAATGCTGGTTTACTGTCTAAAGTATATTTCATCATTCTATTCCCCGCTTTTTGGGTTTTTCTTGACAGCCACCATGAACACTGACCGGTAGGCTGACAATGGAAAGTAATAGCAGGAAAAATGGATTTTTCCCAACATGTTGAAGACACTGCCAACAATCCCTTTGCAATCCACCTGCAGTCTGCAGTTACAGAGAAGCTGAAGCTAAATAACCAACGATGGACTTTATATGCTAAAAATAAAACAGCACAGAAGACAAAAAACCAATTTTTAAATAATAATCAAAGTTATTGACAGAAATGATGGATTATTTTCTGTGATAAACTTTCTCCATGAAATATTATTCTTTCTCTGGAATAACTGCAATGGATGGTGACAGATGCTGGTACTCAAATTTAGTTTTATTTTCTGTCAGAAACTTATCCTTAGGGCCTTCTAGTTAGACACAATGATATATCTATATCTAGTTTAAGGAAATGTCTTCAAAATTCATTTGTAAGAGAGCTGTATTAAACCAAATATTCAGATTTGTGGTGATGGGATCATTTAATATCTAATATGTCTAATAGCAAAGAAGAAATCTGACTAAGACAGTGGAGTAAGAAATTTTAGTTTCATCACTGTTTCTTTGCAATCACTTCCCCAAATGTTTACACATGTAAGCACTGACTAAAAATCACTTAAAAAGTTTAAACCAATGCTATTAGAGCTTTTGCTGATTGTTTATTTGACCTGCTTACGTGAGTACTTGAAACTATGTGTTGTCTGAAACTGACTTGCAACAGGTGAGTTTAAAGACTAGTTTAAAACATGTGTTGATTATGAAATGAACAGAATAAGTCTAAATTATTTCAAAATTTATATAAAAATGAGTGTATCAAAGTACACTAAAGCATCTGACTATTTATACCTAAATTTTAAAATAATAAATATATAATAATTAACCAGTAATTTTGAAATAGATAATTTCCCGCTATGTTTTAATACATTTAATAATGAAAATCTTCAGGCTAGCATGTTTTACAGAAGACATACAAGCTTTTAGTGAAAAAAAAAAAAAGAGAAAGCATGCTGGTACTCCTTTGAAAGCAACTTTTAATGTGAAAACACTATTAACATGTTTGATCTGTCATGATGGGTAGCAGAATAGGATTTTATAAAAATTAAAAGAAACTTTTATTGGAATGGACCAGAAATTCAACAAAAAAGTATTTGATAAGGATTATATTTCTGGACATCTAGTACAAGCAATTATTCGTAATAATAATATTTCCTTTTATTAATGACTATCAGAGATATTGAAATGGTGTTTGGTAGTCTGTTGGCCATCTGTCATTTTCCTGGCATACCAAAGAAGTTAAAATAAAATTATTTGGGAAGAACACCATTACTTTTCTGCCCTATATTGATGATTATATTCATAATAGGAACTGATATCATGTTGTGCCATCAAGTGACTTTGTGTATTACCCAACAGCTTTCTTCCTGACAATCCAAAGATGGGCCCAGAAGGAAGAAACTGCTCACTGAACTTCTGTCTTGCTCTCAAAACATTATATTAGAGCATTTGTTGTAGGACACCACAACCAGACATGGAGAACTTTTTGCAGCAGAACAAGATGCTAAGGAATGATCTTCAGATTTCCATGGGGTTGTCTCCTGTTCATGGTGCTGCAATTTGCTGTCTGCAGATGAAAGTTATTTCCCATTAATTATTGATGCTGCAATACATCCTAGTCTGTTTTAGTAACAGATAGCTTTGCTTAGTTTAAAGAGCCACTGCCAGGAGCTTAATAGCCATTGGTTTTGATGAGCAGAAAACAGGCTGGCCTTTATTTTTTTCAGAAACATTTGAAAAACGACTACTGCCATGACCACAAAGTATTAGCAATCCCTTTTCACAAATTCAGTTTGTTCATAACCTTGTGACATAGACCATAAATAGCCTTCTTGTATTTCACGCATATGAACAATTAACATGAACAGTATATACAATATTTACTTTACAAAAAACAAACTAAAGTGCTATATGAACAACCCATCTATTGGCAAAGGATTAATTTCCTATTCCACATTAAATCCAGATTGTATGCCTAGCTAACTTGCTTGCTATGACACTGTACTGGTTGCAGGTGGTAGCAAGGAAAATATTAATCATTTGGCACTGGGGCTGCTACTGGAAAAGTTATACTAGAGAAAAAAAAACTAAGAGAAAGCTGAGATTTGGATCATAGAAAAGCTCATATGATTTTCTGCACCAGACTATGAAGTTTAGAAATGAAAAAATATTTAAAAGGAAGCTATTTTTATTTTTGAAAATGATTCTTGGTGAGTTTATTTAATATATTTTATTTGCACAGATGATTAGTATGATAATAATAGCAAAATGCTAAAAGAATATGTGAGAATTCAAAAGAATAAATCAGAAAATATTTACTGGAGTGAGTAATTTTTTGTCTGCTTTATACCTAAAACCCAGGTACCCAATAGGAATATAAGACAGAATAACAGTTAGGCTACTATTTTTTTTAACAAATTTATCTTTGTGCTTTGAAAACTGGAAAAGATATCTTGTCTGATGAATTGGATGTTTTAGTTTTTAAGTAATATAATTAAAAGTGTTGATTACAGTTAGGGTAGAAAAGCAACTGATAATGGTGTATGTAAGAACATACCAGAATTTTTTACATGCTTTAATCTTATCACAATTTCTTGCTAAAGATTTACATAAAGAAAAAAAGATTAAATTCACAGAGTATTTAATTCTGTCTTTTGTTCAACATAATGAGAAAATATTTTTGTCTTCCAAATGCAAAGAATAGGCAAACCCTTTCACTACTGGAAATGTCCATTTTACTGTTTTAATCTTGATTCAGCACGTAACTTCTTCTAGGAAAAACTGATGATTTGCTCTATTATCAGAGATAACACAGGGCCAAACAATGGGCAGATTGAACAGGCAAGAAAAAGATGAGAATTTCCACAGAAATTCTGTTACTTGTATATCTTTAAGTGATCAGGAAAGTGACCCTAGCAAGATTAAAATGTTCAGGGTGCCTTCTCCTTCCCAGACAAGAGGTAAGAAAACCTGATGGATTAAAGGATAATGCTATCTCAAACACATCTATCTGAAGGAATGACCAAGCCCATTTACCCATTTTCATTAAAAGAGACCAGACTTCCTGGCAACATATGTAGCACCAGTGTACACGCTGATGCAGGTTTGGAAGGACCTGCAGCAAACCAACTGCCGCCACTGGGGTAGTGGAAACCTAAGGATGGATCTGATTGGCAAGTTATGTAGTGAGTTGCAGCAAAGTTGAGAATGAAAACTCTTTTGGATAGGAAATTATAATAGCACAAGATATTCCCTAAAAAAATAATAATATAGAATCATAGGTGGGTCTGGGTAGGAAGGGACCCTTAAAATTCATCTAGTCTAATCCCTCTGCCACAGGCGGGGACGTCTTCAGCTAGATCATGCTGCTCAGAGCCTCATCCAACCTGACTTTGTATGTTTCTAGAAATGGGGTGGGCATCTACCACTTCTGCGGGCAACCTCATCCACTGTCTCACCATCCTAATCTTAAAATATTTCTTCCTCATATCTAGTCTGAATTTACCTGTTTTCAGTTTGATATAATTACTCCTTGTCCTTTTGTTCTATATCCTTTTCAAAAGTCCCTCACCAGCTCTCTTTTAGCCCCTGTAAGTGCCATAAGGATTTTCTGGAGCCTTCTCTTATCCAGGTTGAACAAACCCAATTCTTTCATCCTGTCTTTACAGAAGAGGTGTTTCAGGCCTTGTGGACTTCCTTATATTTGCATTTGTAGGTCCAAAATCTTACACTGGTGTCCCCCAGAGCCCAGTGCAGCACTCCAAGTGGGGGTTCACCAGAGCAGAGTAGAGGAGCAGAATCACCTCCCTTGCCTTGCTGGCCACAGGGCTCTTGATGCAGCCTAGGACACATGCTGGGGCATGTCCAACCTTCCTTCCATCAGTAGGCACAAATCCTTCTTGTAAGGCCCGCTCTCAGTTCTCAACCCCCTGACTGTATTGATTCTGGGGTTGCCCCAACCCATGGGCAAGACCTTGCACTTGGTCGTGTTTAACCAGATACATTTTCCAGAATTCCACTTCTTGACCTCATCCAAGTCTCTCTGTATAGCATTTTGTCCTTCAGACACATTGGGTCTATGCTATCAAAATATGAGTGCAGACAATGAAATAGGAAATAAATACACAGTCAATAGACTTTAAGGTGTTATGTGGATCTCCACAGATCTAATTCGGATTACTTAAGCTCATTTGGCTCTACCTTTCAAAGAAGTTTGAGTCTAGCCAAATGAAGACTCAAACTTCTAGCCAAATGAAGGCCATTCATGTGGGCTAAGATACCCATAACTCCTTTGCCTTCATGTTTCCCCTAAAGCAATTGTAAAAAAATACTAATTTTTTTGTTTTCATAGGAATTTAGAAAAGCATAAAACTAAAGTGGGCCTCAAAACCACAAAGACGCTTTGGAGTTTATACTCTGCCAGGTAACAGAAATAGAGGAGAGCATACATTGACAAACCAGGAACAGTTAGGAGTGAAAGATCAAATAAGGTGTGAGAAATCAAAATACTCAGAGATCTTTGACAACAGATATAATATTTTTAATTTAGTTACCAGTGCAAATGGTACATGTGTAGACAATATCATGCTAAAGAGAGGGGACAGAGAGGTTGAATGTTGAATTTCTCTTCCTTTATTTCTTCCTTTCTCTACTTCACTAATCCTGATGTCAAAGAAGTGCAGTTTCTGTCCATACATTTCACTGGAGTTTTATCAAGCTAATATATGGATTCTACAAATTAATCTGTGATATTGTACTGTAATTCAATAGACAATGCTTAAAAAAAAACCCCAGACCTATCCCTGTATTTTATTTTCCATGTTTTCTGGTGGTTGTTATTAAAGGTTTTAAATCAACACTAGTTGCCACACCACAATGTCTGAAATACTATTGTCATTTTCTCCTATAAGATAGATACATCAGCATAAATATTTCAATGTCAAAGGAGGTATTTCTTTTTCCTCCATGACTACTGTTAAAAGACTTCAAATATTTATAGATTTTTTCTTAAATCTCATTGTCAACACTTGCCAATACTCAGAACTTAAATTTCTCCCAGCAGATAAGTTCCCCCAGTATTTTAATGTATTTTTTGTTTCTAAATGCTATTCTATTCAATGGAAATAAAAATGTGGACTTAACAGACTGATGCATGTAATGAAAACGATGAAGCAATTTGAGAGATACAGCAATAGCAAGTTACCAGGACTGAATTATCTCTCTCCAAAATTCTGAAGAAAGAAATTTATTGATTATAGTATGTATAGATGGGAATATACGTTACCTCTTTGTGATAGTAATAATAATATATAACCACCCCCATCACAGTCTGAAAGGCACTAATACTGCTAATTTCAGGGTTTTGAGTTTAAGAAATGGTGTGAAAATTCAGACACTTTCTGGTGCTGGGAAAGTTGTTGAATTGTCCTAAAGGTAATAAAAATGCAGGACTTGAAGGAGGATAACCTGAAAGGACTGAAACTATGCCTCTTCTGTAAAGAGGAGCTGAATTACAGCAAAACAGGTAAAAGTAAGAAAGGAATAAAAAACCCTAGACTTCCCAAAATCTTATGGTAAAGGTAATTTAAATAAACTGTTCAAAGAAATACATTTCTTTGTAGGAATGAATGAACTCCTACTTTGGATTAAACCAGATATTTATTATTTTTAATGCATCAGTTCTCCCTCCCCACCCCCCACCCAGCAGGAAGGTAAATTATAATTGTACTGACACGTAGTTAGGATGGATGATAGCTCCTGCTGTGTTTCTCTGGTCATGTCGAGACATGTTAACTGGGATGGAGAAAGTAAGAACTAGCTAATATCAGTAAGGTGATTTGAGTGGCTTGAAAACGGATATGGTCAGTGGTAGGATGCTGGGATAACTGAGGTGTCTGCTGAATTCTAGCTCTTCCTGCCAGCTCTTGCAGGGTCTCACACTACACAGCAACCTGTCTGTCCGTCCATGCCCAGGCTGTGGCTGTGTTTACTCCTGAAACAAATCTTGATTCTCCAGATTTGTTCTCTAGGAGCATACTGCAAAGACTGCAAGGATGTTGTAGTGCCAGTGGAGACTCATGCAAGGTCTGCTTGTGAGGAGCAATGAGGCAGCTTGTGTTCCCATATTTAAAAGAACAGCAATAACACAGCCAGCCAATGAATTAGGCTTTTTTTTCTGCTTGAAACCTGTAAATTATACAGAAATCAATGTCATATTGTCACCCTAACCACAAATTTGTTGCTTGCTGTACATCCAGGTTTGTTCATCTGACTTTGGGAAGGACACTTGGTATCACTTGGGTAACACACTTTCAACACAGGTTTTATTTAGCGTGTCAGATTGCAAAGCAAGTAGTTAGACCTCAGCCTGAGAATGACTCGCCTTGGATTCACCCAAAGTCTGTAGAAAAGAATATCAGTTGGGTGGATGTAGGCGTACAACAAATGGAATAACTTCTGCCCTATGCAGACCCACAGATCAAAAATAGGACACATTGATAAACAGAAATAAGATTAATTCCTCTGTCTGGCTTGAAATCAAAAAGGAATCCAGTTCTATTCCATCAAATATTTTGGCTGTTTTTTAAAAAATAGTTGGATCAGTGCATTGCTGTTATTCACTGTAACAACTCATATAAACAGATAAATATATGACTTTTTAAGCCAAATGCTCTTCTCAAGCTTTGAAATGATACTACTGTGAAAAGTTTAGCTATCTAAAAATAATCAAATATAATGCTTCATATTGTATAATAACTTTTCTATCTGAACAGGTTAGGAAGGATATTTTCCCATGTTAATGGGTAACCTCACTTTTATTTTTTCATGAGCTGATATGTTTTTGAGATACTTATTCATTAATGCTGGAGACACAATGTGCCTGGCCTAATTCTTTTTGACAGTGGTGTTACTACTCCAGTTGGGAGAAAACATTTAACATCCCAGAAAAAATGGAACTGTTGTTCCCTTTGCTTCTCATGGATTGAGCTAAATCATTCCTTTAGGGTCATCCAAATTTTGGTCTACTTTCTTTCTCTCTCAGTCAATCAAATGTAATTTTTAATGTGTCCAATAATCACTATGCCCAGACTTTACCTATTAAAGCACAAGTAAGCACAAAAGTGATGCAGGGGCACTGGCTAATGGTGACTTTCCCTCATACATACATATGTAAAAAGCTTGTCAAATACACCTCTGCCTAATAAGAAAGCACAAGTGTTCTGACAAACAACAGCAACAAATTAAAAAAATAGTCACTATCCTGTCAAATAATGTTTTTATATCAAGGATCTGGAATACAAAACATGTTTATCAACAATCACATTATGAGTAGAATTCACCTGAATGTAACACCTTCTCCCTCTAAGGTTTTGAGTGAGGCACATTAAAGAAGATCATACAACTTACTTATCCCAGGAACAAAGGTTCTTTTTTGAAAGCTGTCAGCTTGCTGACAGATATTATGAACATTTACTTCAGTCTTGTAAAACATTTAATCAAATTTGTTCCTATAGCTTCAGTCCAAGAGGGTTACTGTTTTGTTTAGAAAAATGTACATAATTGAGGAATAATGAATACATATATAACTTGAATGCAAGCCATTATCTATGATATTCATTTATTTGTAATGAATACATACTGGTCTATAACAGACTTAAGGGCAATGTAAGCAGTGTATGAAAATCTGTTTAATATAAGGCTATTTGCCAAATTTGCTATTATGCACCATTCATTGAACTTTAAGAACCTTTTGAAAATATAGATTGCATTTGCAAACTTCCATGTATGGAGAGCTGGCAAGCTGCCTGGTTTCTACTTAAAGGATCGTCATCCTTGGAAAAACAAATTTCTCCAAATAGAAAAAAGTCAGTGTTTTCATGTTTTACTGCTATCAAACTGATAAGGCTGACAATTTAATGTCTCAACACCTGAAATACCTGTGGATAATTAGTTACTTCAATCATCAGAACTATAAATTCCTCTGTTTTCAAAGGTTGTATACATATGACAGAGCTATTTAAAAGTTTTACCAGAAGCCTCCCCATCCTCAATCTTTGATTTCTCTTAAGCTATGAAATTACTTTTTCACCAAATGCATAATTTTATAATTAATGGGAAAAAAAATCAAATCCTGCACTGTAATCAGATGTTTAAACCTTTTTATTGATGTCCTGTTTCATTTAATTTGATGTGTATTTCATAGCCTGCTTGCCTGTTAAATGTATGTGGAAAGGTGCTGGCATTCCAGCTGAAGAGATCTTCCTGAGTGAGAAAATGCTCAAGGCTTTTTTAAAGTAGGCACCAAACATATATTTCCCTTCTTTGACTCCAGAAGATGCTAATAGCTGTCCCAGAAGACAGGTATCACAATGTAAAAGGCTAGCAGAGCTGTGAACCTTCAGGATCTGACTGTTAGCAAATGAGGTGGGTAGTTTCTCAAAACTAATAAAGAAAATGGCAGCAATGATGAGATGCAGAAGGACCTGACAACAACAACAACAACAACAATGAAAAAGAAAATAAAAAGAAAAGAAAAAGAAAAGAAAAGGAAAAGAAAAAGAAAGGACAGAAAAGAAAAGAAAAGAAAAGAAAAGAAAAGAAAAGAAAAGAAAAGAAAAAAGAAAAGAAAAGAAAAGAAAAGAAAAGAAAAGAAACCAGCAAAACGAGAATTCTGGGTAGTACAACATCTGGCAGAGCTGATTTTAATATTTGGCAGGTTGAGTTCAGTAATCTTTGCTATTCATATTGATGTGAAACTTCATAAAATTTTAGAGATTTGTATGTATTAATATATGCAGGAATGATGCTACAACATGGAAACAAGTTTGCTAGCACCTGCCATTCATTTTCATGATAAAAATTGATATGAACTTTTTAAAATGCCTAACAGATAACTAATTTCAACACTCAATAAGAAAAACTACATCTTTAGAGTGTCCTTTATCTTTAAAAAGTAATTAAAAAAATAGACTAAAACTCACCAGCCATGAAAACCAACATTCTTCCCTCCTCTCTTTTGGTTCTTTGATTACTTGGAGCCTTGTAATCAAACTAAGCTTAGTTTCAGGACCCTTGAGGCAGTATCTCTTAGTTCTCTGTCAGGCTCTGCTGGAAAACAATCAATCTTGTTCTTGTGCTGGTTTTGTAGAAGTGCCACAACACAAGGAGTGCACTGCTTTGCTCTTTCTGTGAAGCTTCGATGACAAAAGTTTATCAGAAGCTGACTGTATTTAGGATTATGAATATGCAATGACTCTCATTCGTATTGAAGCACAGGAACATGGTCTGACATCCCTTGCCACTTTTAGCTCTTGCAGAGTTGTCTAATGAATTGTCTTGCTCTTTCACTCTCACAATCTTTGCTGTTATGGCCCAGTTTGAGAACACTATTGATGGCAAAATATTAATTGCCAAAACCCACTCTTGATTTTGTTAAACAGTGTTGAGTCAGTGTTTAAATTGTCGAAACAGAAAACCATTAAACTCTACAGGAGATAAATCCATGGCAAATGGAGGATATCATGTCTGCATGCATAGCCATGCACAAACATAAAGGTGTATGGCACAGGTATGCATACAGTCTTGTAACTGCACTTATACTTAAAGACAGATGTGTGTGTATCAGTGAAGGGTCTCAGAAACCTAATGTCCTGATTAATTTTTTCTTTTACTTTTCCAATAAGAACAAATGGAGACAATGGAAAGTTTTTCAAATGAGCTTGACTCTGATACACTGGTATTTGATCAACTGTTTTATATTCTTCCTTATCCCATTGGAAATACGCCAAGCACTTTTCAGCTCATCTGCAATCTGTTTGAATAAGTTACTGATAAAGAGAGTTCAACATGTGATTAAGACATATGGCTTGATTTATTGTATTTGAGGAGGTGTGTAGGCTTTCAGAAAGAAGTGAAAATGACCCTTCCCCCCAACTGGCTAAATTCAGTATTTTTCTCCTATTCATCTGAAAAGTCTTCTGACATAAAAGAAGTTTTAATGGCTCTCTGCAGATTGTGAAGGGTAAAGTGACTTGAAACAGCTAATGTATTTAAAGAAGCTTAAGCAGCATTCTGAAAGGTGTGTGTGTACTGCAAATAATAAATGTTATGAAGTACTCCCAGTAGGATGTCAGTCCTCTGGAGCTCTATATATATTAATCAGTAATGGAAATCTTCCCAGTTCAAGGAAAGAGGATCTCTTTAATTTTTACTGTGATTTTTTGGCACTGTTGCTCTAACACAAGCTTATCTTACCTCTTAATCCAAATTTAGGACTGTCTGTTCTTATCAGCTGGATTAGAAAATAACGAACATCTAATGAACATCTACATGAAATACAAGAGCGGTTTAAAATAAATGTGATTCTGACAAAATTGGCTCAACTACCATACATCAAACACTTGTTACCTCTCTTTGCTTTAGTGACTCACATGACTAAGAAAGAGTGAGTGATAAAATCTGAAGAAAGATTAAACCAATCTGGACCTTTTTAAAGATCATCAATCATTCTGCACAGCCATGATATTATTCGTTCCAGTAAGCCTTGTTCTCCTATTTTATGGACATCTCAAGCCCCCCACCCCAGGACAAGTGCTACCATGGGAAATAATTTTTATAGGCAGCATCTCAGTGTGGGCCAATCAGATCTAATCACATAACAAGCTACTGAATTATTCAATGTTCTCCCTAATTTTGCATTCTTCCTGCACTTTGCTGTCACTACAGGATTTTAAAAGTATGGATTTTTACAATATTAAGAAGATAATAATTTGCAGAATTTTTTCTTTCTCTATGTCTTTCAATAATCATCTTTCCATTAGATAATTGCAGTGTACACACTACTATACACAGAATATTTTTTCTAAAATAATAACAATCCACAATGTGGCACTCACAGTGTTTAATATACAAATATAAGGGCAACAATAGCAAAACAATAGTGTTCAAACATAAAATATTCATATTTACAGAGCAAACTATAACCAGCATGTCTTTTAGCTGTTGCTGTGAATACAGGGCTTACATTGTATGTGAAAATATTTCAGTTTTAATTGCAAATCTATGCAGAGATGATTTGGGGTCTGTAATTAGCACATAAATTTCAAACTTTGCAACTGCTGTGGAAACACACATTATTTATGGAACTATTATCTAAATATAATTCAGTGTTCTTTGCTTTCAATAACTACTGTAAAAGTCTGATTTAATAAAATGTGAAAAATTTCCCATCTCTTGCGCTTCTGTTCACATTATGTAGCATTCATTCCTCTGCACTGCCATTTCCCACTCAATCTGCTGTGGACTTTGCTTTTATCCGTACTTCACTCACACCTCAGGGAGATTTCTTCACAACCATAAAGTGTCTTGCACTTAATTAGTTTAAAATGAAAGCCTGGATTATTCAAATAGCTCTGAACTGCACAAACAGAGTAGTTTATGTGGCCTCCATCCTCATGCTTTTCATCATGGCTAGAAGCAGGAATGGACAGGAGTCTAGTCTAAGCTGGGTTTAAGCTCCTGTGTTCAGATTTCCAGTTATCCAGAGAGAGTTAATGGAAGGACAAAGTGTTGCCTTGTTATCACCCACGTATTGTAAACTTCAGGCTCAACCACTTCTACCTCCCATCAGTGTAAGGCACAACCAGTACAAAATTTGCTTCTTCCTTGCCAGAAATCTCGTTCATTTTCCATGCAGGTTACTTGCAACACCTGTTTTACAGCAATAGTTTCTGAGACCGTTTACTGTTCTTGAGTTTAAAAGTGTATTTTTAGATCTCATGGAACTGTGCATTTTTCTTGCCAGCTTTGTCTCTAGGTTCAGGACTGAGACTGCAGATAATGAGACTGGGCATGAGATATGCGCAAGTACCAGTGCCAGGTTAAATAGCAAAACAGAGCTTGCAGTAACAACAATGACAAAGTCCATAATATGGGCTTAAGTTACATTAGAATGTGGCACATCTGAATTTTTCTATCCTCTACATTTTTTCCCTCATATCATTTTGGGTCCCTGTGTATATAGTTTTGCTCTCTTTAAGGAAAATACTTGCCCACTTTTTGTCTGCTTCCAAACTGCAAAGATGGCCAGCTGTCTCTGGCTGTTCCAGCACCTCTTTTCAATGGCAACCTCAACAGCCACTGCAATAATAATCAAAATAATGATCACTAACAGGGCTGCCTTGCTTCTCCCAGGGCTGCCTGCCCTTACAGAAAAAGCTGTATCTGCAGGAGCATGACCCAGCCCACTCACAGGGTGGGCTGAAAGCTGTATCAGTGCCAGGAATGTGCAAATTTTTTGGCATGTGGCTACCAGGATTTTCTCAGACCTGGGAGCAATACCTCCTCATATGTCTGTCCAGTTGCTAGCACTGTAGAGAAGCAGGAACCCTGCATGGTGCACACCATCATAATTTTCTGTTTGGATGATGATATCAGTGTTATGGAGCACATGCTCTAGAAAGAGAGTTAAAAAGATTAAAAAGATTAAGTGTGAAGCCATTGAAAGCTGTATTTTAAAGCTCCAGTATTACTCTTACCATTACAATTTAAAGTGACAGAGGCCCAATTATGAACAGTAATTTCATTATATAAAATTACTTTGTTTTTTATTAAAATTAGTTTACTTTGTAAAGCCCTCATTTCTGCTTTGCCATCACTGTCACAGAACCTGTCTTCATGGCTTCTGGTGTCAGCAGGATCCTGAGCCTCCTGATGAGGAATGGACCAAAATGGCAGAAAGGCTTGAAGCCTTATGGGAAATAACAAAACAAGTGGCCAAGTGGTCTAGTCTGCTCTTGTGGTAATATTAGACAAAACTTCAGTACCTGTAGGAGATCCCAAACCTGCATTTGACACTTTAAGTGGCATCAGGAGGCTGAGAAGACAGTGAGTACATTTTTAGGAAGATAAAAAAGGATGGGTGAAGCAGGAGAAGTTTTCTGACAGATGAGTTAAAAATTGTTGCTTTCTTCACAATTTTGATGCAAAAATTTGCTGGTTGTTTACACAATAAAACTTAGCATTCAGTGTACCTCATAAGACTGTTCAAATTAAAAAAAAAATCTTCTGTATCTTTATTTGGCTGGTGCTACACAGACTACTTCAGATCAATGCACTATACCATCTTTAAAACCTCACACACAATGTGCTCGCAGTAGTCTTATAATTTTGGTATATTTTTCTTAACGTCTGGCATGATGACATGCCATGAAGGCCTGAGCTTTCTCATGAGAAGGAAGGTACAACTTTCTTGGAAAAGAGAAAATTCTCATACAGAAGGTCTTTGAAAAGTATCAGAGTTGTGCAGCCTTTCACACAAAGATTTCCAAAAGTGAAATTGGCATTTGGCCTACAGGTAGCAGAACTGTAGTCTAAAATTTCGGGAAAGTAGACCTGTCCTGGTATCAGCCAGACCATTTAATGTGCAATAATTCAGTTCAATTTGATTTTTTCACATTATTAATGCATTTCCAGATGTAGAACAATGAATCCAGTTTTCAGATGAGATTAGTCACTCCTGAATAATTTGGGAAATCCCTAATAAATGCCCAGGTAGAAAGGAAATCAGAGTACTCTTTTCAAATCTGACAGAATTAATTATTTCTCCTTACAAGTGATATCAGAATATTAGGGTATTTTTCCTACCTACTTGGTAAGCAGCTGCACATGAGATCATGACATATAAGTCACACCTTCAGCAATGTTGCTGAAGGGATATAAGATACTTTTCATACACTGATCATCATCAGCCCAAACAGTTTTCATTTTTAATCCCACATTTAATCAAAATGGAAGTGATCAGAAGAAAATATCAGAGAAATTGTTCAGACTGCACTTGAGTACATTCACCAAGAGGGGTGTAAAGTAGAGGTAAAAGAATGTTCTCTTCAAAGGTACTTCTGGGGCAGGGCAGAAAATGATTTCAAGAGTAGAAGATACAAATACACCTTACCAGCTCACTCTTTAATGGTCATAAGTATCTGTGTTACAAAAGAAAGCTACAAAACAATGCAGGGAGACAAACTAGCGATACAGTTGAGCTTTTACTTACCTATTCCCCGGAGCACAAACTGTAGCCATCAGTGGAAAAGGTTTTTAATTTTCAATTAGTAGGCCATTGTCAGCAGTTGCTTTCTGCAACACTGGTAAGCTCAGTATTTTGTGTTCATGCGCTACTTTAAATATTTGAAGTGGGACACTGTGCAGCAGCTAGAGGACAGCATCTCTCTGTGCTCAGTACTGTACAAACACAGGATCAACACATCAAGACATCTCTGTGTCTAGGAGATTACAATGCAGGGAAGTGACTGGAGATATTTCATTGTCCTGTTAAGGCCAAATTGGCAGTGAGATTGAGCCCTAGAGGAATAATTCATCACTTATATTATTCCAACTGAACCTCTATGCTCATATCAATATGTGTGTTGTTCTGAGCTTGACCTGGCCTGGGCTGGTCTTGCACTTGAAGGAAAGAACCACCATATGTCATCACCAAAGAGTTTGCTCCCAGCACCATCCTTGCAGCTGGCTGGATACTGGAGCTAAGTGACCTTTGGGATTCAGTCCAAAGCTTTCCTGCAAAAACAGGTGAAGGGTAAGCCCAAAAAAGGCTATTTAGCGTTGATTTAGCAATACTGGTGAAATTATTCAAGGAGGGACACAGGATCTGTGCAGATGGACAAAGCAATGGGCAGAGCTGTGATCTGCTGTCAGATTGAAAGAAAAAGAATTATCTTATGCACTCTAGATACTCTTCACATGCTTTAATTTTTAATAGAGGTGTTCGTCTTTAAGTGCTATGAGCAATACAATGTGAACTTAGAGGACTATGCAACACAAGTATAATTGACTCACTATAATCATTCTTTAGATTTTTTTCTTTTTCTTAAGTCTTAATATTTCATTCTTAATGGAATCAGAAAATGACAGAGAGCTGGAATGTGACATAGCTGTCAACTAATGTGATTTCAACCTAGTAGCCAATATTGAAATTAGATTTGAATTACTGCATACATAATTGCAGATTAGAAAACTGGAATCAAAGAGCCATGGTAAGACATAAACCACCTGAAGGTCATAGGCAAAGGAAACCAGAAATAGTGTTTACAGAGATCAACGTTTTACATTTTAAAGTATCACTGTATCAAGGAACAGAGGTCTTTTTATGTTTGTGGCATTGCTCTGTAAAATTTGAGTTTGTTTTGCATGCAGGTTAGGTATCTTTCCAGTAACTAGTCTTGCAACTGAAAAACCAAACGAACATTATTTAAACTGAACATTTGAACTGTTGGTCTGATGCTAACACTCTTTTTAAGCACTCTCTGGGTGTGCTGTGTTACCCCATCACTAGTAAACAATGAGGAAAGCAGCGACATCCTGTAGTGACTATAACACAACCTCCCCTTAATTACAGGTTTATGTGGATTGTCAAAACCCATCATCTGAATGGGCAAGATTGAATTCCATGACTGCTGAATTGGACTTACTTTGAACTGAAATAATAGTGGTGAGGTGTCTGTGCTTATTAGGGCTCCTAGTAGAAGTCTTGGTGTGTTATGGAAAGGTGGTCTTACTGTTGTCTGTGGTGTTTCCTGGAGGTTGAAACTGTGACAACAGAAGAGAAACAATATTTGCTCTCAACCAGACTAAAGTTCATAAAACTAATGTAACTGGAAAACAACATCACAATTTAAAAAAATGTGGACCCAGTCCCAGTTTTAGGGAGTAGATGAGGGGAGATGAAATCATCACATTCTCACACAGGAAAATGAACAATGTTATATATTGCATAAAAAGCTCCCAAACAGATTATTTTCCTCTTAAAGACATGTCAGACCCTGAATCTCTCCTATCTCTTTGAGTCTGTAATTTCTCTTTCTGACCAAAGTTTTTAGTCAGGAAAAACAGAGCAAACTTCATATTTTTTTACATATTTTTGTAAAGATGGATGGCTTCACAACTGTTTCTTGATCCTGCAAACAGGTCTGATTAAATGCATAGGAAGAGTGTTACTTGGTAATTTTGGCTATTAGTCCTTACCCTCAACAGCGTGAAACAGAAAAGGAGGGGATCTGCTTAGCAGCAGTCTGGATCTGTTGTTCTATTTTCAGCTTTGGTAACAACGTTTTGTTATTCTTGATAATGACATTCATTTTTTTCTGTATTTCAGTGTATTCACCTTAAAACAATT